TCCATCCCGGCTCCCTTTCTAACCGCCCCATAAACAGCAGCAACATCTCCCTTGGCCCCCTTAACCTCCTTAACAACCCCCAGAAGCCCATCCATAACCTCGACATTCTTCATCCGCAGTCCTCCCTCTTTCGCAATCCCATAAGCATGTCCCAAATCCTTCCTAGCAAGGTCAACTGCAAAAAGCGGTTCCTCCCGGGTACAATAATCCCCGCCCACCATCCTCTCCGCATAATTAGCAAATGGCCCTGGCGCAAACAGCCCAAGCCATTCTTGCAATGGCCCAACCCCAAGCCCAGACGCCTCAGCGGCAACAAGCGACTCAGCAAGAACACCAACAGTATTAAGAATGAATGTGTTACCCAGCACTTTCAGTGTGGACGCCCGCCCAACATCTATATCACCTCCACTTCCAGATGAAAGATCAATTGTCTTCTTAGACACGACACCGTCGAAAAACGGTCGCACTTTCTCGATTGATGCACGCTTCCCGGCCGGGACGACAATAAGTTGCCCCGCATCGGCCATATTTGGTGCCCCGAAGACAGGGCACGCGACGAAACCTGCTCCCCGCTCGTTGAAGGCTGCTTCGGTTCGTCGGGATGTATCCGGGTGCACGGTCGAGCAGTCAATGAAGGTCTTGTTAGACAAGTCTTGTGAGATTGCGGGATCCGATAGGATTGCGGTGACTATTGAGTCGAGGGCGGTGTCGTCGCCGACACAGGTAAAGATCAGGTCGGATTGATTTACTGCTTCAGTGAGGGTTGTTACGGCTTTGGCGTTCGTGAGTTCCGAGGCGTGGGCTATTGCTCGTGCAATTGTGCGATTGTAGAGGAGGAGGGGGCCAGTTTGGGGACCTTTCTGGGCGATGTTTTGGCTCATGCCCTGGGAGAACGGGTTAGATGAGGTTTCTTTGGTTGGAGGGCAGCGGGTGTTGACTTACACGGCCGATGTTGCCGAGACCTATCCATGCAACTCGAGGTCCTGTCATCATTGTTTAGTAAAGATGGTGTATGCAGAAGACTGTAAGACTGTAAGAGTGTTCGGGGAAGTATCGGGACTTTATGAGTGTGGGGGGTGGGGTAAAACGGTTCAGATCTTATCCGGTTGCGGCCATAAGTATGTATGTAGTTGTATATTGTTATACTCTACTGGTATGCTTCTTCGACATCTTTTGACTTCGAAACTGCATTAACTTTTCGAGGTTCAGTTGTGACATGCAAAAACATTTAATTGGGTCCTGGAAATCAGTTTCTTGGCATCTGCATATCACCATGGGCTTAAGTGATTGGTGATGACCAAGAGCTGCTTTGGCCAGAAAAGCTCGATCCAATCTGATAATAAAAAAAACATCCTATCCAACCTAAAGCTTTGACTTCTCAACAATCGTAACATCCTGAAACGGCAACCCGAGATACATCCACATAAATGCAAACCTATAACAATCAGCATCCGTTCATCGCACAGAGATCATACACAACCTACCGATCACTACCGAAAAACGGCTCCTCCTTGCCCTCGGCATTCCGTACCCAAAACCAGGGCGCGCCATAGGCTCCCTGATCAAGGGCAATCTGCGTATTTGCCGTCAAAGCGTGTTTGAGTTCCGGGGTTGATGCCGCTGCCAGGATCTCCCTGACTTGCGAGTCGGAGTACCCGTTGCTTTGGAAGAGCTCAGCTAACTTCTCTGGCTTGCTGATGTCGATGTTTTTGTAAAACATCCACTCCCACAGCGACAGGAAGGTTGTTTCGTACTTCTCGCGTGGGAAGTGGCTTTTGATGTAAATCATGCATCGTTGGGGCTGGTTGGTTAGTGACGGAGGAACATTTCGAAGATATAGAGAGGGATGATACCATGATTGAGAGGATTGGGAAGAACTCTGGTGTTTGGGTCTGCGGGACTCCAAAGTATTTACATGCTCGCTGCGAGTCGAATTTGGAGTACACTGCTTTGGCGGGAAGTGTCCAAGGGGGTTTATTTCCTGTTCAAAGTGTCAGCAACCCTGATATTAATTGATACCAAAATCCCGAATGATATTTGGATGTATACCTGAACCAACATTAATCCCGCCTAAGAAGACCGGGTGAAATCTGTTCTATTAACACACATACATCCCATGTAACAACCAGGGATGTGCGTACTCAACCTCAATCCCATGTGACTCTAGAGCTTTGCGGTTTTTTCGTAGGTAAAGCGTCGCATAGTATGAGTATGGCGACACTGACAAGGCGGCAATTAGCGAATGAAATCCAACGGTCCAAGGGGTGGAGCTGAAGGCTTGCATACCACAGTCAACGTAGGCATCAATCTTGCCAGGCATGACGAGAAATTATGGTCGATGAGATTATATTTGATTTCAGTACTCCGTATTACCAGTCAGGTTAGTTGAACCAGCGAAGATAAGTTGATTATAGCGTGGAGGTTGGGGGCCGAGGTGGAGATGGGACCGAGGCCCCGCGACGATGATGAGGTGATCATTTTAATTTCTGCCCAAATTGTCATCTATTAGTTATCGAGTTTTGGATTAGATTTTATTTGGAAAAAAAGAAAGTTGAAAATCAATATGATTTGGTAAATACATTAAAATTGGGGTATGTAGTATATGGATAATGTACAGAATCTCACGCCTCCACTCAATCCTTGCGGCTAATAGCCGACTGTCGAGTATTGACTAGATCCAAGTCGTAAGGGTTCTCCTCATATTGCGTCGCAGTCGCAACACGATGCAAAGACCGACCAGATTTCCGAGACGCGCGGGATGCATAACGCGCGATCGTACCGCGAGACGGAACAGTAGACAAGGTATCGGAATCACTCGAGTCAGCATCATCAGATACCCGAGTCCCCGAGTGTGTCTTCTCATCCTTCTCTGAATCAGGCTCTTCACGGTGGGCCGCCTGGTTCCTCTCAGCAAGGCGGCGCATAAAGGCATCCGCCTCAGAAGCGTATGTACAGCGCTGTCTGATGCGCGCGCCGTACTTGTAGAAGATGAACGGGAAGGGCACGCACGCAAGCGCCAAAAAGGCCGGAATGGACGAGGCCCAGTGAATGCCCAGGTTATGGTACATATAGGTTGTGAAAAGCGGGAAGGCCATGCCGAACAGTGAGCGGAGCGCGGAATTTGCAGCTAGCACGGAGGCAGAGAAGATCGTGTATGAATCAATGAGGTAGTTGAACACGCTAAGGAAGACGAGGACCATGCCGAAACCGAAAGGCGCTCCTGCTGCGACTGAAGCCATCCAGTGGATGTTAGGCGAGTTGGTCCAGGCGAACCAGAATAAGCCGATTGGTAGTGCTATGCCGCCGACCATGCTTGGGGGTAGTCTCAGCTCGGGGGCGAGTCTGTCGGTGGTCTGGCTACATTTTTTGGCGTAGCGGAAGTTCTCGGGGAAGGTGTATACCACGGCCATCACCATACCCACGAGGATGCCGAGGAAGGCGAGACCGCCGATGCCTTCGCTCCAGCCGCGGACTTCCTGAAAGACGATTGGGTAGGCGGCGAAGAGCATGTAGAGCGTGCCGTAGATGATTGCCATATATATAGAGAAAAGTAGCACAATTGGCTCACAAAAGAGCAGGATCCACGGGCGGGAAAGCGCAGTTTTCAGCGTCTTGCCCATAGGAGCGGGGCCACGGTCGATATCAAACTGACTGCGATACACTTTGCCAGTTAAGGCAGACATCTTTTCTGCGCGACGGCGCAGGAGGACAGGTGCATATGTCTCTGGTAACAAGAATATGATACATAGCCAGAACACACCTGAGAATGCAGCAAGTAGTCCCTCCACCCACCTCCAGCCGGCAGCGGCAGCTAGAAATCCTCCAATAACAGGACCTAGTGTTGGTCCTAGGAAGGGTGCAGCAGCAAAAAGACTAATGGCGATACCACGCTGAGAAGCTGGAAACATGTCCGCAATAGTGCCGCCTCCATTTCCAAATGGCGAAGATCCAAAGGAACCCGCCAGGAAACGCAAGATGATGAGTGTCTCGATGTTCTTTGCACCCGCCGCGCCAGCATTGAACACAGTGAGGAACATGAAAGAGATGGTGAAGATATGTCTCCGGCCGAAGATCTCACTAAGGGGTGCCCAGATCAAGGGCCCAATAGCGAATCCGAGGACGAAGAGCGATACACCTAGAATGACGATTTCCTGGGAAGCATCAAAGTCCTCCATGATCTGGCGCATTCCGCCTGAGAATGCGGATGAGACTAATGACACCGCCAGAGTAACGAATGATACTAGGAGTGTAATAGACCACTTCCTGATTGGGTGGAAGTTCATGGGGTTGCGCGGGTCGGCAGGTATCCATACCACGGCGTATGGATCGTCTTCAGTGCCTGAGCCTGTGTATGGGAATTGCATGACTTCCTCAGTGACAACCTTTTGGTCGAAAATCAGGCGCCAGAAAGGGATTTTGGAAGGCTGCATGGTCTCACCCTCGTCGGTGGGAACGGTCATCTTGCTGGGTTCAGGCCAGGAGCTATATAATAACGGGAAGTGGTGTTGTATATATATTGAAGGAGGATATGGTGGCCAAAACAACAAGATATTGAACGAGACAAAAGAGGGGAAAAAAAGAAATGGCCCCCTCTAATATAACAACCGAAAGCAGCCTCGGCGTATCTAAACCATTGACGTAAAATGTATATATCTCGGCAATTACATGCATGCATGCCCCTCTTGCACAAATTTTCAGTGGAGTCCAATCTAAGTCCCGGAGGAATCTGACTCGCCCAAATTTCGGCCCGAACTCCATTTGTACGGCTTCCCGAAGGCTTCGATGGCTTGGCAGACTATACATACTATACATAAATACTACCTATGTACATATGTAGTTAGTTAACTAGTTAGTTAGTAATTCCACTCATACATGTATAAATTTCAAGTTCTCCGCAATAATTTAATCTTTTCCCCCATTTTGATTCGAAACCACTGCCTACTAGTGGCTCTGAGGGCCAACCCACCAAATATAGTAACAGATGAGATACTCTTGAGTTGCCCATATTGTATATGCACCCGGATAAATATTTACCATATACAATTGTCTTATATACTGCCAAATACCAAAAATATCCACTCGGACTCAAGATACTAAGATTGAGGCTGCCCCAATCACCATTGCGTTGGTTTGATGCATTTTCTGCTCTTCCTTTGACTGCTCGACAGCCAGCAGCAAACGTGTGGAGCGGATGTGGAGTTCTATCGAAGTCAATATGGGATTCTCTCCACAGGAGGAGCGACTCACCTTGCAAAATAACCTCATACCCAACCCAGGAGTCTTCATTCTGATCATCCTGGTGTATGAGCACTGGCAAAGACGGATCCCATGCCTTTGGCCGCACGCGAACTTTCAACCCAACGGTCTTGCCCATATCCACCCACAGTATATCGTCGTCAGAAGACATCCGCGCTTTTTCGGACCCCTCTTCCCAGTCAATCTCAGTAGTCTTCTTCGTCCTTTCACTTTGACGACGCAACCACTCCCTCCATAACCGAACAAACCCATCCTCTATAGTCGATGCACTCAACAGCAACGATGTTCCCGGCTTGACTTGCACTAGATTGGCCACCACACATAACTGTGAGAAATTCTCATATCCGTCTAAAGTAACTTCACGTATCACTGCATCATCTCCCTTGCCCCCTCGACTCCCATTTATGTCAGCCCGTACGAATCCCACTACACCCGACAACAGAAGCATCCTACCTGGCAAGATACCGAAACCGGAGCCATTTATGCTTCGATCTCCTTCTTCTTCTTTGTCCTTGCTTACTTCTGGACGGAAGCGCGAATATAGCCCCGTTACTCTACCAAGCTGGTGGGCGGTATCGACATTCTCATATAACGAACCCGCGCCATCATGACGCTCGCTCAGTCCATCTGTACCGAGGTATTTGCAGAAGACGTGTGGCTCGGTGAGCTTTGAGCTAGGGTGGAAGCATTCTAGCAATAATTTGTATTCCTTGAGTGGTGTGTTGAGAAGTAGGCGGTAGTGGAGGATTCTTAGGACTAGGGCGTGGAATCGGTGGTTGACTGACGTGAGCGGGAGAAGTGCTCGGGTTGGGAAGTCAGATAAGATCTGGACGAATACCTAGAGATAGCTTTAGCGACATAGCCCGTAGTATACTCTGTGAGCATACCTCATTGGGTAACGAGTCCAAGGTCACCGTGGGGTTGGAGGGGTTCATGGTGTTAATTGAGATGCGACCTGGGAAGAAAGACCATTGATTCTGGTTAGTATACCATAAGAGTCAATGAATACAACACACAAGAGACAAGAGGTCTATGTGAGTTGTACTGTTGCTGTTGATCTAGGTCATCGACGTACAACAGATGGGTATGTCACGGAGGACGATAAGCGATAAGTGACGTCATATCCAAGAAGGCGGGCATAAATTTCCTTTTTCGGCTTTTTGGTCTGTTCACACTGCCAGTCCAGTCCACCACCAGTCCACTGCCCGTCCACTGCCAGCCCACCTTGTCCACCATGTGGGACAACAACCGGGGAAATGTAGTTTTGACTGGTTAGTTGCGGCACTAAATTGCCTCTTTCGGCTGAATTCAGGTCAAACAGTCCCCCCGAACGTGCCTGTTTCCCCAGAAAACTGCGGGATCCCGATTCCTGTACGGCTCACCGAGAGAAAGACGGAGATGATGCCAAGACGTTATATGCCAATGTATATTGTTTCTTCAACTTTGCGTTACTATATTACCACATTTGGCCAGATCCGTCTGTAGCATCCTATACATAACACTTGGCCTCGCTTAACAGCTGTAACCTGGCACATTCCTACTCCGGAGACCCCGCCTCCCCACTAGAAGTCCAACCCCGACCCCTTTGAACTAATTTCGGGGATTTCTCTCTCTTTTTACCTTTCTTCCTCTCTCTCCCTACGTATTCCCTGATCATTCCAATCTATAGCCATGGAAAACGTACTCGACGACATCTCCCACCGGAGATACAACCCCCTCCGTGGCTCATCCATCTTGGTCTCTCCCCACCGAACCAAGCGTCCCTGGCAGTGAGTATCGTTGTCCGTAAAACGACATTGCGCAACAAATCAGCTAATCATACAACAATCTAGAGGGGCGCAGGAGAGTCCCTCCAAGACCACCCTGCCTAACTACGACCCCAAATGCTACCTCTGTCCTGGGAACGAGCGCGCCCAGGGCGATACCAACCCCAATTATGAGAGCACTTTTGTATTTGTGAATGACTACAGCGCAGTGAAGGAAGAACAAGCGGCTTATGAGCCCTCAAACCAGGATGGTACTTCCAACAGCCCAGCGCATCTGCACCACACGAACCAAGCTCACAATACCACAGAACTCGAATCGCGGTTCCTCAAGGCCGAACCCGTAACTGGCAAGTGCTACGTGCTCACCTTCTCATCTGCGCACAACCTCACCCTCGCCGACCTGGCGCCTCGCGAGATCGTGCCCGTGATCGACGCCTGGACAGAGATCTACACGGCACACCTGTCCCCGACCTCGCCGCTAGTGAAGAACGCACCCGCAACAACGCTGCAGCCCACCTCCTCCTCAACAAGCGCCACCAAGCCAAAGGAGCAGTACCGGTACATGCAGATCTTCGAGAACAAGGGCGCGGCGATGGGGTGTTCGAACCCGCACCCGCACGGGCAGGTCTGGACAACCAGCTCAATGCCCGAAGAGCCCGCCGCCGAAATGGAACAGCTGACCAAGTACCGCCAGAAGCACGGCGGCAGCCACCTACTGGAGGACTATGCCGCACTGGAGAGCCGCAAGCAAGAGCGCGTTGTGTTTGAGAACGAGGCGTTCCTGGTTGTCTGTCCGTGGTGGGCGACGTGGCCGTTTGAGACGATGATTGTCAGCCGTACGCACAAGCGCGCACTAGTGGATTTGTCCGAGGCCGATAAGATGCTCCTTGCTGAGGCGATCGCCGAGACTACCCGTCGCTATGATAATCTCTTCGAGACGCACTTCCCTTACAGTATGGGTATCCACCAGGCTCCGCTTGATGGTACCGAGGAGGAGATTGAGGCTTCCTACTTGCACTTGCATTTCTATCCGCCATTGCTGCGAAGCGCTACGGTGCGCAAGTTCCTGGTTGGTTATGAGCTTATGGCGGAGCCTCAACGTGATATCACCCCTGAGCAAGCTGCTGCTAAGCTGCGGGCTTGCGGTGGTGAGTTGTACAGGAAGAAGATCGATTCATGAAGTGTCTCGGAATTAAAAGAAAAAGAAAAGAAAGTGATGAAATCTGGACGGGGTTATACCAGAGTTGAAGATATTTCCTCCTATATGCATATATATTATTTCCCCCGCAAAAGCTTTTGTGTCGAAGCATGAGTTGTACATAGTTGTGGTCCACCATGCAATGCTAAATTCGTCCATGGCTATCAGTTCCATGTGTTGCACTGCATTGACCCAAAACCATACACTCTTCCCAAACCGGGGATTTAACCCAGGTATGCCTCGCGCTGGGTGAACATCCAAGCCAGCGAACCGGACGCAACAATCAAAGGGTTCAAGAACCGGCCCTTGAGTGAGGCATTGCCGAAGATGAGCTCGCCAACAAAGTGTGACAGTGCAATGCCGTACGTCCACATGCCAAGGTCATACGCGACAGAGTTTGTGATGTTGTAAGCGGCAGTCATGCGAATGACTGCAGAGAGGAAGGTCCAGGTTCCGAAGACGCGGCCGGAGAGCGGAGTTGCGGGGACCTTGCCATTGCTGTAGAGTAGGGATGTGTATGTCGGCGTAGTGTAGGCTTGCAAGCTGTTAAGAGCGGAAATGACCGAAACCTATATAGAGAGGTGGATGGTTAGTTAGGGGAATAGAGGCATTGATAGCTAGGGGTTCGGGGTAATGGGATTGGGGGGGGGGGGGGGGTGGACACGAGTAGAACTTACGAAGAAAAGCCATTTGGGCAGGAAACCCTCGGACTGGGGGAGATAGGCGAGGTATTGGTCCATTTTTGGGCAAATTGTGTTTTTGTTTGTTTTGGTTTGAAGGGAGTTGGTTGTTTTGTGACTTGGGAAGAGGCCGAGGATGTTTGGGAAGTCTTGGCGTTGACCTTCTCCCAACAAAGCCTCGCATTAGTTTACTCAACTCTTTTTCCCCTTTTGTCAACTTCTTGTTATTCACGTTTCTTTGCTCATTATGGATCTCTCAAAGCATATTGAGTGTCTCTCGCAATGGCCAGCCCATATTGCCCCGGGTTTGCCTACTTATGGAGCGCTGTTCCTCCTGGCGACTGGTGGGCTGGTCATTGCCTGCAAGGTCTGGACGTTCGTGCGGGTGCTTCTCAGCCTGTTCGTGCTTCCGGGTAAACCGGTAAGAAATTCGATATTCAGGCCCTCAAATTCAAGGGGATGAAGCTGACTAGAATGATTTGAATAGCTTCGCTCGTTCGGTCCCCCCGGTAGTTGGGCCGTGGTAACAGGCGCCTCAGACGGCCTGGGCAAAGAATTCGCGCTGCAATTGGCGAAGTCGAAATTCAACATTGTGCTTGTGTCGCGAACAGCCTCGAAGCTGGCAACCCTGTCAGAGGATATCAGCAAGCAGTTCCCGCAGGTGCAAACCAAGACACTCGCAATGGATTTCTCACGCAACGCCGACGCCGACTACCAGGCTCTGGGCGAACTGGTCTCCGATTTGGACGTGTCCGTGCTAGTCAACAACGTTGGCCTGAGCCACTCGATCCCCGTTCCCTTCGCGCAAACCCCCGCCGTGGAGATGGCTGATATCGTGACCATCAACTGCACCGGCACGCTGCGCGTCACTCAGCTTGTTGTTCCGGGCATGATGCAGCGCCGCCGCGGTCTGATTCTGACCATGGGCTCTTTTGGCGGTCTCCTACCTACCCCGTTCCTTGCCACTTACTCTGGCAGCAAGGCTTTCCTCCAGCATTGGTCCACTGCTCTTGGCGGCGAGTTGGCCCCCTACGGCATTGATGTGGAACTTGTGCAGGCCTACCTGATTACCTCTGCCATGTCCAAGATCCGTCGTGCCTCGGCTTCTATCCCTACCCCGCGCGCTTTCGTTCGCTCCGTTCTCTCCAAAATTGGTCGCAGTGGTGGCTCGCCTACCTACGCTTACAGCTCGTCACCCTACTGGAGCCATGGTATCATGGCTTGGTTCCTGACTTCTGTTTCTGGGACCATGGGCAAGCTTGTTCTGGGGCAGAACAAGTCTATGCACGAGAGCATTCGGAAGCGCGCTCTCCGCAAGGCTGAGCGTGAGAATGCCAAGAAGAGCACTTAATTTGCTCGATTTGCTGTTGTTGTGGAGTACGAGAGTTATGCTTTTCTTCTCCGGCGTGATTTATGTTATTCGAAATGCATGTCGGGTTCGACTAAGTGTATAAACAAAGAAATGACATTAATCACACTAATGGGAACATCATTGATACCTAAAGGTCATCGTATTCTATTCCAAGAAAGAAAAACAAATTAAAGATGCTGGGCTCCGTCACCAACCTCCGAGGTCTTGCTGTCTTGCTCTCGGCCTTCCATAAAATCCTTATCGATAAGCTCTTATCACCCCGCCATGGACAGACCGATCTCATCTATCATCCATGATGACTGGCTAGAAACTGCAAATATTTACAATCGAACTAACTGAGCATTCGAGAACTTTATATCCATCGTCATGTCTCAAACGACCCACTCCAGTGGCATCGATGACGCCCCAAACAAAAATTCCACAGAATCAAGAACATCGATCTGTGACAACCGCATTCACCTCCTCCTTGCCGCAACTGGCTCCGTCGCGACTATCAAAATAGCCAATATCATCAGCGCCCTCTCCCCTCATATCCACAAGCTCTCGATAAGAGTAATTCTCACCACCAAAGCCAAGCAATTCCTAGCCGGCCAATCCGCCGAGCAGCCCACTGTATCATCCCTCATTTCCCTCCCTGGCGTGGAAGCCGTCTACGACGATGACGCGGAGTGGGGGCCAGAGCCCTGGCGCCGCGGTGTTGATATTTTGCACATCTCTCTCCGACGCTGGGCAGATATCCTTGTCATTGCTCCTCTTTCCGCAAACACCCTAGCCAAGCTCGCCAACGGACTTAGCGATAACCTGTTGACGTCCGTATGTCGGGCGTGGGATACGGATGGCCAGGTTGACGGGAAACGAAAGCGGATTGTAGTTGCGCCGGCCATGAATACGGCTATGTGGCGGCACCCAGTGACGGCCCAGCATATCCGGGTACTAGAGGTGGAATGGGGTGTTAGAAAAGACGAGGACAAGAGAGAGGAGACAGGCTGGTTCGAGGTTCTGCAACCGCAGTCATCAAAGGTGTTAGCTTGTGGGGACGTGGGGAGCGGCGCTATGTTGGAATGGACCGAGATAGTCAAGGTCATTGAAGATAGGTTAGGGTTGAGCGATCAGAATTCTTCTCAGGGTACTTAGGATCTGTCCTTGCACATTCCTCCTAGATTCCAATTTATCACATCTTGCTCCAGGTCACGTATTCCCCGTCGATTCTGTGGTGGCATTTCCAAATCATCTTTTTTGGGTCCTTCGTGGTAAATACTCTTTACAATGTCTTTTCTTCCACCATTTTCCATATTTCCTTTCATCTAACGTAAGGCAAGTGTTGGAATCTGCAGTAAATTGATCTACTGAAAAACAATCCAGCTCAGTTCAAGATAGTCGTGATGGTCCCAAACAACCGCCGTACAGACTTCGGTTTGCCCCTTATACGATCTGTTCTTTGTCTCTACACAAGTCCATGGGAGTTAGCATTAATCAAATATTCCAAGGTGATATAGCCCCTGGCGCTTGCTTGAGCGCGTGACAGTTCCCACCATTTTTGATTGGCCCCCCAAACCCTGCTTAGCACCAGCCGGACAATGAAATAACTAGATAACCAAGAGTGCTTGCTGGAGGATCTCTAACGATTTATTAGTTGATAGCAGTGATGAGGACGAGGACGAATAAATCAAATTGGTTTGATCAGTAATAACACGTTCTATAAACTTGACCGTTCCTTCAGTTGCAAAATAGAGGCTGAGCCAGCCTGAGACATCTGGCCAACCAGATCTAAAGCAATACATCCGTATTAAACTATCAATCATGAGCCATGGCCAGGTCCTTTTGCCCAATCTCTTCGCCCAGTGTATATGCACTGAAATGTATCACCCGATCAGTCTGTGAAAAAGATACCTGGATCAAAAGCTCCAAGCAATAGACGGTCTGTCCGGCGATGGTTTGGTGAGGAAACAGGGAAAGGTCAAGGCCATTGAAGTGACATTGAATGTAATCGATGCAATGTGCATCTAGATTGAACTTTTCTCAGCATTCCCGATCACTCACTTGGGACGGTGGTTGGAAACTCTAGGCTTACCGGAGTTCTCAAATCGTTGTGGTGCAACTTGGAGATTGGACTCGTAAATCTCCACAGGCTTGGTAAGAAGACCATGCTCCCAATGAAGTAGCTGGATTGTGTGGCATGTCTGGAAATTCTTCTGGTATCTCTGATCCTTTTTTTGGGGGGGAGTTCATCTGTTAGATTATGCGAGGTAGCGCATACTTTTTATACGACATACCTTGTGTAACACCCAATGAGGGAGCAAATTCACCGATAGTGCACCGGGCCCGTCTCCCAGTCGTTGCGACTCGTTTCGGTGGGAGAGAGCAAAAGGTTGAACAGATGCCAGACCGTAATTTCGCGAGCATTTGTAGGTTGGAAGAGAGTAGCCCCGAAGCCCTTGAAGTGCTGCCCCACGAGCAATAGCCTCCCCCCTAGGGTATACATGTTAGATCTTTTCCCTAAGCTTGCAGCATCCAAAGGAATATTTTACTCACGGTCTCTCAGGAACAAGCACGGAAATGTTGCCAAGGCGATTCAGGGAATATTGTAGTCTCTCCTGAAGATATGGTGAGGCACTGAATCCGCCAACCAAGACAACTTTCTATGGAGGATGATAATGTTAGTTTCACAAGTAACCCACGAAGCAAGGATGAGAGTCGCTCACATTGATGACACGCCGCCTACATTTTTCATTTGCAGCAGAGATCTGAGACACAATCAGGTCGAAAATCCTGCTCAGAACAGGCTCGTATAGGCCTCGGATATCTTCAGATTGAAGAACAACACGTCTTCGTCTTTGATTGGAAAATGTGGGATCTGTCTCGGGGGCATTCAAGTTGAAATCAAAGTACCAGATGTTTCCCCCTAGACCATTGAAGTCTGTTTTGATCGTTTCAAACTTGTTCATGGCCAAGCTTCCTGCTTCGATCTCGCCCACGGGTAGGTTATTGAATGCCCCTTCAAGCCTACGAGATAGTAGTTCATAGAATCGACTGTCAATAGCAGTGCTACCGCATTTAGCTCCTATTGCCTATTAGTATTCGGGTCATGTCGATTATGTCTTTTATATATCATACCCATAGCTGTGGTGATCTGCTCAAGAGAGGTTGTCGGATCAACATCTGTGACATAGTATGTTGCGATATCCTGGTCACAGTGTGAGATTATGGAGAGCCAATGGTATAATGGGGGTATCTCACCACTGTTCCCCCTCCACAGTCGCAGATTAGAACTCCATCACGATGCTAAGAATTCGGTGAATAAGATGTTTAGCTAAACGGCGCCACCACACCGAGTTCAGTGTTTTGACTTACCTTGACGTTGGAATTTCCGTCACAAAAGACAGAAAGAGCTGCAGCCTCTGGTTCCGTTGTAGTCCACACCTGGTGTAAATGGCTTGTTCCAAAGCCTGCTCTTTGGATTGCCTGGCGCATCAAAAGCTGTGTCTCTTCAGACCAGCTAGCTGGGATCGTGAACCAGAAATCGATCGGCACTCGACTTATATTCCGTAGGTTACTATGCATAGGTCCCACCACCTCGGAGATGTAGTGCTGAATATGTGCGTAGATCCGAGAAAGGTAGTCTGCCACAGTTTCCACAGCTTCCTTTTGGTCGGGCAGCTTCAGAATCTCTGAGCGAGTGACCATCTCCAGGAACTCATCGTCGAACTGGTTACGCTGGAGATGTCTGTCCAATAGCAGCTTTGTCCAGGCATATGATTTCATGCCTGGCTCGACCTCAAAGCCCCAGAGAGGTGGTCCTCCATTCTGCGTGTATGAAATTAGGGACGGGGTGTTGAGATCACCAATAATACCTGGAGGCCATTGGTTGATCAACCCGATACTGTCACTGTCTGTTTGACCACCTTCATGGGTCGTGATGGCATACGCAATCTCTATTTTCGGGAAACACCGAATTCATTAGTGAAAGAAACGAATTTAGTCATTGAAGATAGATTTTCTTACCTGTGAAGGTGGTACCGTAGTCCACACCCACAACAAGCTTGTACCCATTCTCGGCTTCCATATTGTCTTGGAACCAGGAGATATTCTGTCTATGCTAGAAGAGGATTTAGAAGGACAAGTTAAATTGGAAACTCGACCTAGATGACTTAGTGTTATAGTAATTCATTCCCGATGGGCTAGCTCTAAGAAATTCCAAGATTTAGGGTTCTGTTTTAGTTGTCTTTACAACATGACCGTCATAGGTTTCATTGCATGCAAGATTCCGCACTAAAGTTGATGTTAAGTAGAACCACCTCATTCCAAGGTTGACTACAAGACAAATTAGAGTTTCTCCTGGTTCTTGGACCTCAGTTTCAGTCCACTTCAAGATATCTGGACTAGTTCCAAAGAAGCATAAAGAAATGTGTGTGCTAAACTCCTATGGAGGTACTCTGTTCTTTCCCCCTAGTTTCATCCAACCTCAACACACGGAGTTTCTTTATCTCTCATGTGGGTATTAGTAAAAGAAGAATAAACAAGTTAGGTTAATTTGAACTCCTTCCAAAAGTAACAAAAAAATGTACGTGGCCATGTTTCTCCCAACCAGACATAAGATGGAACATGACCATTCTGTCGTTCGAAATTCATCCCTCTTTCTTCTTTTCGTATAATTCCCCCCTCTCTCTCTGACTACATCACTTTTTCTGCCATGAGCACTACTCGATCGAAGAAGAAACAGAAATCTCAGGTAAGGAGTTTCCCTTTTGCAGCTATATGTTTAGTCTGACATGCTCTAGGGGGAGAATTCTCCACCTGTAGAACATCAGCAGAAGAAAGCAAAGATGTCTACTTACACAGCCGACCACAAGTGGGAGTTTCCCCGTTTTACACGGAATGAATAGCTGCAGGAAATTCATGAGATGAGAACCATGATCGAGGCGGGCATGTTGGATTGGTCCAGCCCAGAAAAGAAAGATGATATGTTTTATTCGCTCTCATTCACCGTGAATGTCCAATCATGGGCCATTGAAAACGGGAAGTCCAAGCCTGAGGATGTGGACCGTCTCTCCAAAACCCAAAAACAAACCATCATCAGCAGCCTCGCGGGATACTGTGTGCAAGAGAAATGGGATATTCTAATGGGACTCCTTCCAGATATGCTTCGTGAGACGATCCTTGAGATATTTTTGGAAACTCTGATCTACAAAGACATCTTTGGCAAGATGTTCATGTCCCCTTTCTGGTACTTGGACGGGAAAATGTCCCCGACAGACGAAGGAGATGAGATGGTCGGTGCACGACTGCAGCATTTGTATGACAGATTCTACGAAAGTATGTATACAACTTCCCGTCTAAAGGGACGTTTCATTGACCATGGTCTTTCATTTCTATAGCCAACCCACTCATGGCGGCACTATGGAGATCCGAGACAAACCGCCTTGCAAACTCGATGGATATAAAAAAGGCATCGAACATACTACTTGCAAGTCACCATCGGGACCGCCGCCAGTCTTTCATCAGTCAATTTGTAGATGACTTTCTCTCCACCGAGCCCATCCAGTGGCTACTTAGAGAGCCATCAAGCAAGGAGGAGAACAAGCGGTACCGGAAACTTTGCAACATTTATATGCAGGCAATGGAAAAAGCTGCAGAAATGGGAAATATACGAGGCCACCTTGAATTCCATAGGTTGGCGGAGCTGTCTGAGACTTTCACCTTGGGTGAGAGGATGGTTACACATGAATACAATTGCCTACCAAAAGGTAGCACCAGACTAGATGGTCATCGGATCTTGATGGTTGTTTACCCAGGGATTGTTCGCAGATATATTTGTGCTCGTGATAGATAAATCACTGAGTACAGCACCAAAGCATATGTTGTGGTTGAGAAGCGACCCAAGGGGAAAGATCAGCAGAAATGATCTGGATGAAATTGGTTTGTCGGTTGACTTTTTTGGTGTTCGATTTCATAGTCTGATCTCTAGTTTTACCGTTTTGCTTCTTGAACACTTCACCATCTACATTCTCGCATTCCATTGGCGATTGGTCATTACCTACACTCGATACGTGGACACATTCATATCTCATTCTATAGAAGTAGCTCACCTGTTTTCCGAAGTAGGTAGGAAAAATACCACTATGATGACTTACTTGGGCACGTTGGCTGCTTCCACCGTCAAATCTATAGAGGATATCATTCTATTCAACAAAGAGCGTCTCGAGCTTCAGGTGGGAATCAGTACGTCCAATATCATCGCCAGTTGACCCGATATCGATGGTTGCATGACTGACTGACCCTGGAAGATCAAACATACTTGGTACAATGAATGTCAGGGAAATTACATGTCTCTCTCCAAATGCAATGTTAAAACGAGATGAATGATAAAGATGGTGAAAGTAATGTAATTCCCGAGATTAGCATAGGGCCATGTAGCCAAATATCGTGACATCTTGCACAAGTCATCCGATATGGTGTAGTGGCTAACATCGCCGTCTCTCACACGGCAGCCGGGGGTTCGATTCCCCCTATCGGAGTTTATTTTTTATTCTTTTTGTTCCTCCATTCCCTCGTGTATTTTGACTAGTTTTCTAGACAAAGAAGTATTATGTATGACAGTGGTAACCAAGGATCGCCTACACTCTAGTTTTTACGTTGCATACTCATGTCATACATCCATGGATTACATATGTAGTTATAACTAACTAACTAGTTAGCCCTGAAAGGTACATATGTACCTATATCCTCTAATCTTGGACTCACCGCCTTCAACATTGTGATAGGAGAGCTGCAATCTGGACCCTTGAACATTCCGAAAGATCCATGGATGTGACGCGATGCCTATTTGCATCGAGTGCTCCTATCCGGTCTCTCACTTGTACAGCGCCTACAGTCGTGCCGATGACCGGTCCCAAGGCAAGGGTGTGCGACTGACGCAATGCCCGCGGTGCCAGCGGTTTGCCGACAAATACGTTGAATATGACTTTGTCGTGCTCTTCATTGACTTGGTGCTCATTAAGCCCCAGGTAAGCATTATACATGTTCGCGAGGGACGTGACCTGGCTAACATATCTGGAAACAGGTATACCGACATCTCCTCTTCAATCGGCTCGGGCGAGATGACAACCAGTTCGATGTGGGTATACTATTCTAAACAATTGTGAGCCACACTGATAAAGTGCCCTTTTAGCGGTCCATAATTCGCCTGGGGGTTCTTCTACTTCTCTTCGACGTCTATCTGACCTGGGCACGCATCGAGAAGGACCCATCCCTCGCAGCCACCTTCTTGTCCCGCGCCCCTATCATTGTCCAATACCTCTTCTTTCTAAGCTTGAATGCAGCTGCAACTCTCGCGCACCACCTCACCGTGCGCCTTTTGGCCTCAATCCTGGTTCCAAAGTCGCGCCGATACAGTGGACCAGACAGCAGCAGCAATGCCAACACCAATCCCAGCACAAAATCTACTGGAGATGCCACCCCCTTTCCTTCCTCTCCTCCCACGCCAGCAATGCATCCCTCGCCATGCGGAGTGTCAATAAATCCACCCACCCAAAACCCCGCCAACCCCCCCGCAAGCCTACTAAGCCCAACCCCAAACCCTAGCTCATATAGCGAGGTCACCTCCCCGACCGACCTATCCCCACTATCGCAAGGTACATCAATGGGACCACCACCCCGACCTGCGCCGCCCCTGCGCCGGACATCAACAGCCCCGGTGCAGAATATCCAGCCCCTACCCCCTCCAACAGCCGCAAGCCCAGCAGCGATCAGCACCGCCCTGCTCGTCAGCAGCTGCGCGAAGCTCTTCCCCATCCTGCTCGTAATCTGGGGCGCTGACGGCAGCGGCAGCCTCTCCGATATTCCAGCACACAGCCACATAGCAGCACAGATCCGGTCTTCGACGCAGCCGGCTACGATGCCAAGCGCGGTGCATCAGAGCCTATTCGCCACAGCCACAAAAACCTCTTCCCTGCTCTCTGCGAAAGCGGCTATATCAACTCCATCGTCGACTTCAATTCGTTCTTCTTCGTTCCTAGAATCGTGGCTAGCCGCCACGGCTTCTTCGCTTAGGACTTCTACGCCGACTAGTTATTTGACTGGGCTTTTTGACTTGCTTGCTTCGTTGCTTTCTCTTGGTGTTGTTGATACGCACCTAGTGCTTCTGAGTAATATCGAGGCCTTGTATATCTTACTTGGCTGTGGGTATCTGCGTGCTGTTGCTGTTGCTGTTGCGGGCCAAATCGCCCGGTGGGCGGTGCAGAGGGTGATTCTGGGTGCTGTGGGAGTTGGCTAACGGAGCGGCTCAGATGAACTTACGTACTCGATATATAAATTAATTCAACCTAGCTTTCTCAGCATCCAAGTCGCACCAATATGCATATCACTAGGTCTAGGTACTCTACGAAGCGGAAACTCATTGGCCGATATCCCCGATTAGTAGGTACAGTCATAGGTAGCATTGGAATAGCAGAGTGACCGAAAGGATATGAATGCTTTCCATACAAAATGAAATTGACCAATTACTAAACAAAACTAGATCAAAACTAAACATACAGATAAAACGCTGCCAAGAAAAGGCCTTCTAGGGGAACAGCTATACAAAAACATAAAATAGCTGCGAACCCACACAGGTTCGCAATGCAGACCAAATCCACACGCAGCTCGCTACCAAGCCTAAGAAGCACAGGGAAAGAAAAGCAGTCTTCATTTCCTGTCTAACCCGTGGACATCCCAGCGTGGGATGGGATAAACCTGAGTTCATCTTATATTATCCAATGATAAGATAAGACGAAATGATATCTCACAACCGACAGTCTCCCGAAATATCAGTTCACAAAATGGAAGAAAAACACAAGAAACCACAAGGGGGAAATGCCTCTATTGCGGTACGCGATCAGGTCTGATGTCTGACCGCTTCGGTGCGATGAGAGGGTGCCACTGTGAGAGGAAGACGATGGCTATATTGAATAGGTTAGTATCTTTTATGTAGTACACATATCATGGCGATAGGTGGATAGAGAGAATGGGTCACAAGAAACGTACCCCACATCAAGTAACAGGAAACGAAGGTAAGGATGAGCGTACTGCGGAAGAGGCTTCGGACAGCAGAGTCAGTATTCTCAAGTGCTTGCAACTTTTAAAAGAAATGGCCGCTGGGCTCGACGCCCAGTATGCAAAGAGTGAAGCATATGGACTCACGTTTGGTTATCGCCCTTTGGGCTTAGGAACCATGCTGCTGTCGAGAGGGCAATGATGATAACCAGGCCAATGACCATGCTCCAGCTGTTGAAGTTCACGTTAGCGACTATAATTTTGTATCCTTATCGAGGCGTGGGGGAATAGATTGAACAATGCGAACACCCAAAATCAGAGGTAATCATTGACTTCATGGCTGAAGATAGGTATGGATTGTTTATCCCGTGACTCCGACAGAGGGGGGAGGGAACATACCCGTTTGCCATTTTGCCGGTATTTTGTTATTATCTTCGTTCGTCAGAAGTAAAGAACAACCCAGAGTTGAGATCACTCGGTGTGTTATGCGAATGTCGGTGTGGGCGAAGAGGGGTGAGATAGAAAGGAGAGGGCAGATAATGCTGATCGTTTACTTGATGGTATAAATTCTCTGCACCAGTGTTCTTAAATGTCCGGTTCCTTTGACGGCGCGGGTGGATGGACAAGTGATCGATTATAATCGATGCAGCGTGACACGATTGGGATCGGCTCGATGGTGTTTTAGGTATGTATTCGAGGAATCAAATATCCGGAGGTTCTCTTGGGAAATATGCAGCTGCCAGGTGTGTTGCGAGCTGAAAAAGGCGACCTGGCGAGTTGGAGTATCCGTTGATGTCGGAGCTCCTGGAGCTGCATGCCTGAGGCAGAATTGGCGGGCGGTGGATCCCGAGGCAAGACCCCATATGAACCTTGGAGGGTGGCATCTATTCTACATTTCCGCTACAATATGACTTTTATGAGAGTACAGATAGCAGGACCGAATTGCAAGTCCAAAAATCCAGACTGAATGATCTGTTGGGTTGGCTCAGCAGAAGCAAAGCGGCTTAGATACAAAACTCAAGGCCATGGCTCGGAGTAACAGACAAAATCGAAGCCAGGCGGAAGGATAACAAAAGAAACATGACATTCAAAACAACGCTTAAGCGCCCTCACGGATCTTGCGGTAGCTAGCCTAAGGAAAACGTGGTTAGATGCGATGGACGTGTAGAATGAGCATTCACCGAGAACTTACCTCCTGCTCGACCTGCAGCGCATCTACAGTCGGAGCAAGCTCGCTGAGAATCTCATATGACTTCTTGTGGAACTCGAGTTGAGCGGCGATCAGATCGGCCAAGTTGCGCAGGGGCTCGGGGGTATCAAGGACCTGTTGCAAGCGATGTTAGTACCACAGGACGGATTTTAGAGCGCCAAAAGAAAAAAAACAATCAACCAGAACATACGTTTTTCATCACGCTCACAGCCTCCTCAGTCTGGCCAACAAACTCATCTTCGGCCTGCTCGATCTCCGCGCGGGCATCCTCGCTCAAGTTATCCAGGTCGCCGTGGGCACCGGCCTTTTTGCTAGCCTTGATGGAGTCAAGCATCAAGCGGGCGTTCTCAACATTCTTGCGCGCCTTAGCAGCGAACATCAAGTTGGTGTTGAGTGTGGTATTCCAGCCAGCCAGGAAGCGGGACTGGATCTGAGCATCCTGGGCCAGACGAGCCTCGCCAACCTGCTCCTCGGCCAGAGCATACTTCTCCAACGCAGTGGCAAGCGGATCTTCGCCCTCGGTGCTCTGCGCGAGTGTCTGGGAGCCAGCGAGGGAGGCACGGGCGATCGCGTGGTTGAAGGTCTTGGGTTGGGGCTTTGCGGAAGGCGGGGCTGTCAGGGCAGCTTGTGCCTCGGCGGGCGAACCTGCCTGGGACAGGAGCTGCACTTTCTCGTTGATAGTGCGGCCCAGGTCATTGAAGGATTCGCGGATGTTGGGAGGGTAGTCGTAGGCCTCGTTGGAGTATTGGGAACTGTTCGTGAGAGGTGGCGCCGGTTAGCACATGTGGGTAGAGCCATCCATAGCGCATAAAGTAACAGGGATTACTCACGTCACCTGCAACAGCTTCTGGTGGACAAGCTTGAGCGCATCGACGCGCTTCTCGAGCTCGATGTATTCATCGGGGAGCTGGGTCTTGTCGTCGGCCTGGCCCAGCTGCTCCTTGATCATTTGCTGGGTACGCTGCGCAAAAGGCGTGAAGCTCGCACTGTCCGTCAGAAAACCACAAGGCAAGAAGATGTTAGTAAAGCGACCGATCACAAGTCGAGGGGTGGAACGAGGTTCGCGGGATAGGGGGGCTATGACGGTGTACTCACCTGAAGTTCTTTCCGAATGCCTGCATTCGATCCATGATTGGTGTATTTTAAACTTTTTTGTTAGGAAGAAAAAGGAGGAGAGAATGGCGAGAAATGGATGGGAGTGATGATGGGTTATCACCACATGTGCTACGCGGGCGGGACGAAGCCTCGACCTTGCACCGCCTCACTTGCGCCACATATCAACTTATCAGGCACCCGTGAGTATGTATGTATCATCTTCTTTTCTACCTCCAAATGTATGTCAAATTCATGGTCCATATCAGAGGCAGCCTCCTGTGAGTATAGAGTGTTAAGGCTTCAATGTTCAAATTGACTAAAAAGATACATAAAAACATCCGGAATTCCCCATTCAGACCAGAACCCAGAACCACTGGAATCAAATTAAAATCATAGCATCGTAAGTCTCTGAAGAAAAGCTGGAAAGCAGTATGGAAATCAGGTTAGGTCAGAGTTGCCATCATAGCACGCATGATGCGAGAGTTAGGTTCTAGAGAAGGTCAGAATCACCGAAACAATTTAGTAATCTGGGGCGTCATACCTGAGCGCTCCTGCGTCCGGATCTCAGTAACCTCCTCCTGGTTACCTCTATCATCAATGATATCTGTTTCGCGTTGTCGAGTGATCTCAATCCCACCCTGCCTCTCCAGACGAAGAAGTCTTGTCTCCTCTTCCAGATTGCGAATGTAATCACTCACGTCGTGATCGCTCTCTCGTGGACGAACGAGAACCATCGAGCCCGTCCGAGCAGCATCTGATTCTCGTTCGATGTACTGCACGGGAGCCAGTAGATGAGGTCCGCGGTCATGGACTGATACAGCTCGTCGCCGAGAGACTCCCCGTGCTCGCGGCCTCTCAACAAACTCCTCATATTGGTCCACATGGTGGCGTGATCTTGACCTGTGTCGGGAGGGTGATGCTTCCACAATGAATGCTTGGCTGGTGCGGGGAGAAGCCTCGACACGCAAGTGTTCTGTCGTCACCCGCTCGCGTGGCCGTTCCCTGAGGGGAGGAGACGGGGATAGGCCGATGTATTCGGCTGTTCGAAAAACCCAAATCAGTATTACTCTTCCTCATAGGGACTTGGGAATGCGGGTGCGGGTGCCACTCACTTTCCACAGGCGACGGCCGCCTGAACTCGCGGCTCAAGCTAAGCACTTCGTCGATCTGTTCCTTCGACAATGCCTTTTGAATGATAATCATATCCTCCTACTCAGGTCAGCAGCCGACAACAGCACTTTTGGAAAACAAAGGACCAACCTCTTCTTTGAATGGATACCCTAGATCCATGATGGCGTGGATATGAGCAAGGTGACGAGGAACACGGGTCTTCCCTTTGCGCGGATAAGGTTTCTCCTCATGATGTCTGCGAACAGTACTGCTAGAACGGCGACGTCGATCACCCATATCTCGGTCACGAATATCTCTGAACTCTTCATCACCATAATAGTCGGGCTCGGCAATCCTAATATCCTCGTAGACTTCTCGCTCGCGATAACGGCCCGGAGAGGGATGATGGCGAGGCGGAGCAACGACAGGCACACGGGGAGCGCGGGGTCCACGATCTCGGGCATCGAGGTGTTCCATTTTGCGCCGGGGTATGCGGTCGAAGGTGTCTAAGGACGACTGCCGCCTAATAAGTTGGGGACGACGGAATGAGGGACTGTCGTCACGGCGCCGACGCCGGTCATGCGCCACAAGAGACATGGCAGGGGATGGGTGGTCTAGATGGTCATCTTCATAGAGTCTCCCGGGTGCGCGCGCAGGGGGTCCATATCGGTCTTCCTCGCGGAGGCGTGCTTCAAAGCGCTCTTCGGCATGGCGGGGTCGTTCGGCCACGGGGGGACCCCGTGAGTATCGATCGTATCGATCGCGAGAGTCCAGGGTCCCTGTTGACGAGCGGTAATCATCATACCGAGACATCTGGGAGTATCACCGGATTCTACAAAACAAAAAGAAGGGTGAACCGTGGATGACGCGAGCGGCTGACTTCCGTACCGACCTCGGGAGGGTGGGGTTTTCGAGGAACCAGGGGTGAGAGAGAGACTGATAGACTGATAGGAAGAGAGACAGAGAGATGAAACACTGAGAGGCAGAAATGAGCAGAAAGGGACAGAAAGCAGAAATTAAGAATCAGCCTTGGGAGAAAAGAGAAAGTCAAAATAATGAAGTAAGATAGGCAAAACGTCAGGCAGAAGTCGATCAGTGATGACATTGGGTCGGACGTACTATTGAATGTGGGGGGATTGCCCGGATACCTATCTGCGCCACATCTTTCTACGGGCACTACTGTATGTTGTGCCTAATGTACATATGTATGTACTATGTATGTAGTAGTAGGCTAGGTACTGGTGCATTGTATACTTCATCCAATCCTAAACCTCTAAATTCGCAATGTCCTCTTCCAAGATTCCCATAGCCCAATGCGCTCGATCCGACTTGACCGTCACAAATCGACGATCTTCGACCTCCTTCAGCACAGCCTCAGGCTGTGGCGCATACATTAGCATGGATGTTGTAGGCCAAGGATATCCAATAGACATGCTTACCTCATGCTCTTGTTCCCTTTCTCGTTCTCGGTCAGTCTCAAATGACCGCTGATAGGGTGGCCCACGACCTTGCTTTGCAGCGACTATCCATGCTTTCTCACAGCCACCTGCAATAGCATCCGCGGTCTTCCACCCGGTCAGGCGAGAGATGTCGCGAAGTTTTGAAATCGTCCAAGTTCGCTGCGTGGGATCATTAAATTGCACAGCTGCAAAGAATAGTGGCACCGACATGTCAGTCAGCGAAGAACCCAAATTTGGACTCAAGCTTCCAGCTTCGAGGTTAAAGCGTTGCGGGTAGTAGACACCCGCCAGGATCTTCCCAACAATTTGCGCAAATCCAGCTGTCGTTGGAGCAGAGACCCCAGCTGCCATCATGATGGCCGGTGGCATAGAGGGATGAATCCGATTCAGCAGCAGGCGCATGGCATAATAGAATCCCCAGATCACGGCGATGGTATGGGTACGGTATTGAAGGGCGGGACCGAACGGTGTAGAGATTGGGGGCGCGACATCTGCTGGCAAAGGCTGGAAATCGCGGCCCAGCGCTTGTGAGAATATGTCCATGGCGACCAGGATCTCTTCCCATTCTTGTTCGGCTTCCTTGTAACTCATGTCGAGAGCCGGGTCATCCTCGTCTGGTGACAAGCGAGACTCACGCGGTCTATCTTGGAATCCCGAGGGAAGGCGTGCAGGCGGTTGAGGGGGTATCATTCCGTACATGGGGGGACTGTCGGCTGAGGGCGGGCCAGGGCTTGAAGGAGACACCCCAGTCGGCTCTGACATGGACGGGGCCCTAGTGTCCCCTTTAAGCTGCATATTAGGCGTGCCAGATGGAGGACCAGGGGGGCCCCCCGGACCGAAGCCGCCAGGTGGTCTAGGTCTTTGACCGGGAGGGCCGCCAGCGAACCGACCCATGAATTTAAACATCTCAGGGCCGGGCCTCCAGTCCACCCCACCTGCCTTCAGGGTTCTCAATTTTCGCTTACGATCACGGAAGCCAAAATCTGTGACCCGAGCGAGCAGCAGCCACAGATGATCTGCGGAGCCGTATATAGCATCTAAACGGCCAATGCCTGCTCGAGGCGGACATTGACCCCATTGAGAGTAGGGCATTCTGGTTTACCGATAAGCAAATCGTTCTGTCCGCGAGTAGACGTAGGTGTAGACTTACAATAGTTTGTTTCCGCCGATAAAACCCTGGAGTGCATCTTGCTTTGCGTACCACCAGTATAGATCGCATTGAATCCGGAAAATCTCAATGTCCTTGCGGGTGAAATGTTTTTTGGAGGGCAGCGTACTCTCCTCATTAATACATCCAAAATGGTCGTAATTGATTGCTTGTCCCATGATGGCGCCTATGAGATCTTCATCGACGCTGTCCTCTTTCTCAGAGAAGGGATCATCCTCAGAGACATCGCCAGGCATCCCCCACCACGAGTCGGACCAGCCTGACTGGCGACGCTGCTCGTGAGCTCTACGCCGATGGGCCCGTAGGTCTCTAGTGGTCTTCGCAAAGTCGATCTCTCGGATCAGATGGGTGGACCCACCCAGGTGGTTATTCCATTTCGAGTGGTCCGCAGATATCACCTCATAGTATCCCAGCAGAAGAGTGGCAGCCAAGGTACCGACTTGCTTGCGTCGGAGGGGAAGGCCAACTGCGGAACCAACTCGTTTCAAGGCGTAGTGATAGTGTTTCAAAGACACTGTTGTGGGAACTTGCTGTAAATATGCAATGTGTAAGCTGCTGATAGCTAGTATTGCCTGGAGGAGGGCTGGATGCTCTAAGGCTTTGAGGGCAAGCGTATAGACCCATAGACCCTGTTGTGCAGATGGGACAGTCGCCCCCAGAACAATCGAGGAGTCAGTAGGATGTCGTTCAAATATAGATAAGGATGGACCAGTCGAGTGAATGAAGTGAGCAAAGATGCGGGCAGTCTTTGGGTTGTTCAACGGAGAAGAGCCAAGTGTAGGGCGGTATGAGGCGAGCACATTGGGCTCGTTCAGGTATGTCGTGAAGGAGCGGAGTTGCCGCTCATCGCGGTTAGCAGAGGCCATGATGAGACTCAACTGGTTGAAGCCTTCGACCTGCGATTGATCTACCATCTCATCGTCCGAATCCACGTCGTAATAATCCTCGCTTTCATCCTCCATGTATATCACTTGTGGCTGATGGGGTATTTGATGGGGTATAAACTGCTCATGAGATCGTAATTGCTGCGGTAATTGCCCTGGCGGTGGCTGGTAATGATATATCGTCGGCAGCGGCTGGGTCATCTAAGAAATGGTAATCAGCATACCAGCTGCAAAAAGAAAAACAGAGAGCTCACGGCAATGCATACCTGAGGAACTGGGTCCATCTCGCTCTCCCTGTTTCCCGGCATTGGATTGAGGGCTGGCACCGGGGAGAGATTGGAGGCGTATTCTTCAGCTGTCTGACCGATCGGACTGACAACCTGGGGTACATTTTGTGCGCTTGCATGGGACCTATATGGAGCGCTCGTCTGATCCAATTGAACTAACTGCTGTGCCTGTAAGAAGTCAGTCACCTTTGGCGGCACCAGCGTGCTCTCCGCTTGAGGTATCGGCTGAGTGTGCCACATATGGGTTGGTGGCTGCACTTGAGCTGCTGGATAATAGAAGGGAGGTGCATTAATTGGCTGGATTTGAGTCGAAGAAGGGATTTGGGACGGAAATGAGTGATATCCCATCGCCACCGGATCAACAGGTCGCGGAGCTAGCATTGGATGCTGAGCAGCGGCTGCCGCTTGTTGGGGAGGGAGTTGAGAGCCATAGTCGTTGTGCATCGGTACCCTCATATGTTGTTGCTCTATCTGCGGATCCTGACCGTGGCCAGTACCGAAAGATCCGAAGATGCCTATGGGGTTCTTGAACACGACCCGCTGGGCATATCCCTCGCAGATTCGCTTGGATTTCACGCAGTTCGTGCATATTGGCTTCTCTTCGCCGCACTTGATCCGTCGCTTTCGACAAGCTATGAGGCTTCGTCAACGAGGGAACTCTCTCTCCAATGTTCTGCAACATACTCAAACAGCCAGTCTTAGTTCGTTTCTTCGGGAGTCTGCGGGGACCTGACCGTGCGGTTGAGGCTTCCGCAGAGCCACCAACAGTAAGATCCGCTGGAATGTCCAGCTGATCCTTCAGGTCGTCAGCCATAACCTTGGAAGGACTCAAGATTGCAGAGTGGACATGTGCGAGGACATGTGGGGCTAAAAGGCACAATGATCAGATAAGTAAGAAACAGAGCTAAAGAGGGAAAAGCTGCCGAGCATCGCAGATCACCCGCAATACATTGTGGTTCGTCAAGGAGGGATATGATCACCTACATATTTGCAAGGTTCTCTCTTATGCACAGTCAGACTGGTCAGTGTCCACAGGTATTGACATTCATAATTACAAGGGCTTATGAGGCACTTAGGGGTGTACGGAGTACTCTGTACAACGTTCTCCTTGTGGCCTAAAACCAAGTCACGCTATAGGCTTTTAGCCGAGGTTTACCCCGGCTGGGTGCCTTAGGCACCAATGTGTATGTAATCTGATAGTAAAATTACCGATAACGAACTTTTGAGAGGTTTTTTTCTTTTCGAGGTACCGTTTCCTCTACTTCAAAGGCATTGGATATTTACAACCAATCCTTCAGGATTAATCATGTTCGCTGTTCCAGGATGGTCCGTTGAGAGCTCTGCTCTGAAGTCACAGACTCAGGCCGCGCAGCCCAAGAACGAGTCTCAGCCGGAGAAGGATGCCTCCAACGCCAATGCGAAGAACAATAAGCGCAAGCGTGCCAATGACCGTGTCACCGCGGGCAATGTGGATGAGATGTACCGCAGGCACATCGAGGGTACTGCGAAGGGTGGAAAGCGTGGCGCAGATGCTTCCGTGAAGCCAGAGAAGAAGCAGAATAAGGAAAAGAAGGAGAAGCAGACACTTGAGAAGGAGCCTACAAGCGAAGCTGTCACCGCCGCCGAGGCAGACGCAGATCAAGCAGAGGATAAAGCACCCAAGAAGAGGCAAAGGAAGAACAAGAAGAACAAGGAGAACAAGGATAGCACCTCAGAGGATAAGACCGAGGCAGATGGTGCTACCACTGCCCCGGCCAAAGAAGCTCCTGCTCCTGCTCCTGCTCCTGCTGCGCCTGCACTCCCACCAACAGCGAACCTGACTCCTCTCCAGCAGGCGATGCGACAGAAGTTGGTCTCCTCTCGGTTCCGCCACCTGAACGAAACCCTCTACACCACCCCCTCCGCGAAAGCACTCGAAATGTTCAGTACCAACCCGGAGCTATTCGACGAGTACCATGCCGGATTCGCGCGACAGGTGAAAGAGTCGTGGCCCTCCAACCCGGTCGACGGCTACATCAAAACCATCCGCACCCGCGGTGCAATCCCGCTCCCGAGACGAGGAAAGCCCCTTAACCCTGCTAAGGGCTACCCGCTCCCCCGTCGTCCCACTGGACTATGCACATTCGCCGATCTGGGCTGCGGTGATGCACAGCTCTCGCGCGCCTTGACGCCCTCCGCCAAGAAGCTGAACATCAAGCTCAACAGCTACGATCTGGCAGCGCCTGATCCGCTGATCACCAAAGCCGATATCTCGAATCTCCCCTTGGAAGATGGGGCTGCGGATGTGGCTATCTTCTGTCTGAGTCTGATGGGAACCAACTGGGTCTCGTTCGTCGAGGAGGCATGGCGAATTTTGCGTGGTGACGGCAAGGGCGAGTGCTGGGTCAGTGAGGTCAAAAGTCGATTTGGCAAGGTCCAACGCAAGAAGTCTCAGATCGGTGCCCAGAAGCCCGGCAGCAAGGCGGACAAGAAGAAGCCCAAGAAGAAGGGCGGCGATGATTCCGATGTCGATGATGCTGATATCTTTGCTGAGGATGTGCGGCCGTCTGACAATAACGACGAGACTGATATCTCGGCGTTTGTGGAGGTGTTCCGGTCCCGTGGATTCATGCTTCGCCAGGAATCCGTGGACAAGTCCAATAAGATGTTCGTGAGAATGGTGTTTGTTAAGCAAGGTGGTGCTCCTACCAAGGGGAAACACGCTTCGGCTATCAGTGCGCCTGCGCCTGGTAACAAGAAGCGCTTTGTTGACCGCAAGCCTGATTCAGAGTCTGGCATGTCGGCTGAGCAGGAGGCCCAGGTGCTGAAGCCGTGTGTTTATAAGATCCGCTAGACGTTGCAAAAGATCTGCTTATATGTCATTGTACATACCCAAAATTTACCATGCATGACCACTATGTTCATGGACCATCTCTAACTACATGAGTTACGACGTAGTTAGGCCAGCATGTAAACGTTGGACGGCATCGTCATTATTTTTCTATTGCTCCTGACATAGATACTAGCCTCCAAACCAAGTCCAAGGAGCCCCTTCAAGAGATATCTTCGAAACTAATCGCCCTCATTGGTTGCCACCCAGCTGTGCGACAGCGTGGCCCATCTCCTCATCGTTGTAGATACGGAAACCCTTCTCCTTGGTGACACTGGCCAGCTGGACATTCTTAGAATCAAGCTTCTCCTCCATGACCTGCTTCAGCGTCTTGAGAACCAACGTCTCGGCCTCTGCTAGAGTCAAAGACCGATGGTATTCATTCTGCAGCTCCGCCTGCGCGCCTTCGCTTCCCGAGCCGATGGCCTTGGCGTCATACCGGTAGAATGTGCCGGATGGTTCAGCGTGGTATCTAGCAAAGAAAAAAAAGTTAGTAAATATATCAGACAAAAATGAAACAGCATATCTTACAGTTGGGGCCCGTCCTCGTCATAACCAGCGATTAACAGCGCAACACCAAACGGTCTGCTCATGACACTCTCCTCATCATCACCGCTCTCACCGAATCGCAGAGCCAAATCGCAAATTGCCTGTGTGGTGCTCTCGACTCGCAGAGGCTCGGCATAGTGGAAGGCGTGATTTTGGCACTCGACGCGGGCGTGCTCGACCAGGTTGCGGGCATCGGCCTGCAGACCGGACATGGCACAGCCGATGTGTTGATCAATTTCAACGATCTTCTCGACGGACGACGCTTCTAGCAACGTGGATGTGACGCGCTTCTCAACACCGAGGATCACACCCTCGGAGGTTGCTACCTAGATGAGTGTTAGAAAGAACAGTCCCATAATCCCATTATCCTTGGTTTTGCGCTCCGATAACAATACAAAGAATCGCTCGCTGTAATGTTTCGAGGCCTTTCTTGGAATCGTAGAGCAAAGAGGAACTGAGTGGTATGACATACTCCGATGGCGGTGGAGCCCAGTTTGATAGCTTCAAGAGAGTATTCGACCTGGAACAAACGACCTTCGGGGGAGAAGGTGCTTCGGAGGGAACATTGTCAGGATGCAGGTCTATCTAATGACGTGGGTTAAACTCGGAGAACGTACTTGATTCCACGGTCTGTCCAGAGCTGTTAGTTGATTCCGCGGTGAGGGGAGACCCTGACCAAGCTTACCATATTCTGATCGTGCAATGAACATATTGGGTTATCTGATGGGATGGGAGAGACTCGTCAAGAAAAGGAGCAATAAAGCAATATAAAATCACGATGGAGGAGAGAATCAGTTGCAACGGAAGAGGAGGAGAGGTGGATGTCTGAGAGTGAAGCTCGGGAAGGGAAGCTCTCGACGTACGCAAGAGGTAAGGTGCCTGTTATTGCCTGCGTGCCTGAGGCACTGACTGCCCAAGCCAAAAGTGGAGTTGTTTGGATACTTGCATCTTCTCCCCATATACATTGGTTCTGCTATTTTTGTTACTTCGATTTGGCGCCCTTCAATCTCCTATGCTGCATGATTTACTCGTCTCCCTCGCGGGATTATGTCTGCCAATGACCGCGCCGCGTATATGAGCGCTCCACGACCCCGCGCCGTCTCCAATCGCGTCGATTCCGAAACTCGCGGACCGTCGCCGCTACAAATCGAGAACAGGGATACTTTGCGCCACAGCACCTCGAGTCAGAAACACAGAGCATCCCAGGATCAGAAGAGCATGTCCGACAAGCGGTCAGAACGGATGGTAATCACATCACGGGAAAAGGCAGTGCGAAGGAACCCTGTGAACCCTGTCAAGGAATCTATCGGTGCGGCTGGCAGAGGCGATTGGGATAAGACTCGGCCTAGGAAGCCTATTCAACTTGATGACGCAAACCCCAGTGCCCGAACTGGGGAGAAGGACCCGGCTGATTGTGAGTGATCCCTACGTCTCAGTTTGTTGTGAAATACAATGGATTTGCTGACCACGAGTTTTTCTTCTTCTTTACAGCACCATGGAATCCCCAAGCGTCATTGATTCCTCACTCGACAGCTCCTCTCGCATGTCGTGTATCAGTTCCCCCTCTAGCTTCGACGGCCCCGCAGGCCCTTCATCCTCGGCCACTTCGAGAGCTCTCACCCGATGCCCAGGAAGCAGCGATCTTGGAGGATTTGTTGTTCGTGTTCATGGGATTTGAAGGTCAATATGTTCACTACGCTAGCTCATACGACCCATCGATCGAGAAAGACCGCCTCACGGGCCCAGTCTTCCAGATAGCCCCGGGCCTGGATCCGACCCTCCGTGATCTCATCCAATCCATGCTGAAAATGGCGACGCACTACAGTGCCATGGAGGCATTTGTGGAAATCCAAAGCCGCGCGGAGTGTGGCGCTGTTAGTCACTCGCTGTGCGCATCTATTCGAAAGCTCCTCAAAGATTACCTGATCCTTATCGCCCAGCTGGAAGGCCAGCTGCTGAACAATCCTACATTTACCTTGCACCTTCTTCATCTCCACACAATGCCCACCAGTCAATGTCTGGCCCAATTATATTCGATGGGCCAGGAACTGTTGCTCAAAAATGGTCTTCTAGACGAAGACCTCGAGGAGTCGATTGACGACTTCGATGAGGATGTTGACAATATACTTGAACAACTCAAAGAAGGGGGAGACTTAGTACCGGGGTCTATGGCCCGCAAGAAAATGTGCAAAGGAGGCAATATTCTTGGACTCCTCACGGGCCGCCTGGCTTCATTCTCAGGTGATCCAATCACCAAGACCCTACTTCAGACCTTACTGCGTGACGCCAGTAGGCCTTACATGGCCATGTTGAACGAATGGTTGCACCATGGCGGTATCAGGGATCCACACGCCGAGTTCCTGGTCAAGGAACAAAAATGGATCAAACGCGAGAAA